GTTGATTGTGTAGAAATATACGTCTCCTCCCGTTGGAATTATCTAAATGGATGCATTAAACAAATGTATCACTGTTGCAAATATTCATGAGGTTTATACTGGGGCACAGCTCATTTATACTGGGGCACGTGCCCCAGTAAATGGGGTCTGGCGACGCCGATGGCTAAACCTATTTTGCCCTCCTGCCTCGCTTCCTTGATATACTCTTACAGCAGTTTGTCACAGTGAGCTTGACACAGACATTTTTAAATTATGCTCAATATTGAAGCGTGGTCTGTGCTACACGCTGTGGGTCTAGATATGGCCGAGGCGGAGAGGAAGTGGGGGCGAGTTTAGGCCAAAGACGGAGGGACATGAGGGCCAAAAAGAGCAGAGATCCAGGTGGAAAAAGGGTCCCAGTCCCCAATCATTGCACTGATTTTGTGCAGTATTTTTTTATGCAACTTTTCTACTTCTGTTATTTGCTTCTGTAATATCGTTATGCATTGTTTCTAAAAAAAACAATGCATAACGATATTACAGCTTTCATTGATTTATTTCAAACTTGAAACTTTGTTTAGCCTGTAAGGTGTAAAAAAATAAAAATAAAAAAATTAACCGATTAATCGAATCGAATCTTATCGTGGTGTATTCTTGAGTATCGAAAATAATCTAATCGTTGGGTCAGGAAATCGATACTGAATCAAATCGCCATGATGGGTGTGATTTACTCCTACCCCTATTAGTCCTGAACCTTTACCTAAAAACATAATATTTTCCTAAAACAGGGGTGTCAAACTGGTTCCAGAAAGGGCCGTGTGGCAGCAGGTTTTCTTTCCAACCAAGCAATAGCATCAGACTCCAGTCATCTCATCAAGTGAGTCCAATCTGAACATAATGACTTGATGAGATGAATGGATTCTGGTGTGCTATTGCTGGGTATTGCTTTCTGGAACCAGTTAGACAACCCTGCCCTAAAAGGATCCGGCTTTGTTCCCAAAAGGGAACAAAGTCATGGGAAGAAAATAGTCCTTACAATGTCAGACAACACTCAGCTCTCTCCCCTCCACACACAACAGACACACCCACACCTGTCTGGTTTCACTGCCCCACCCACCAATAGTATAAAGCTTACTACTCCTCCTAGTAATCTGTACTAAACCGACTGCTGTTGAACTTTGGTTTATTAGCAATAAGTTTTAAAATATGGCTGTAATGAAATGACTGTTTTTGTCTTTTTTCTGCTTTCCATCTAGAGCTCCAATATCAAAGGCATACCAAACACAAAACACATTTAAGAAATCAGAGATAATACCATAAATAAATCAATAAATATCTTTCAATAGCTACTTTTTTTGTTTTAGCAAACTTTTCTTATTTAGGAAACAGATGTTATGAATGCTAAACTTGTTGAGGAAGGCTTTAGGGCCGGACAGAGTCAGTTTTGTTTATTAGAATAAAGCTCTAATCGACTTTCATGTGAGGAAAAAGTTGTTTAACGAGAAGAAAGCCTCGATAGAGTTAAAAAGATGTCACAGTTAAACCAAGTATTTTAACACGGGGAGGAATGCATTTAACATTTAAATGGACTATTTCTTCATTCTCCTAATGTCATGACTCTCCATTGATAATGTAATACACTTTTTTCTTATGGTTTGACAAGTTTATTCTCATAGACCAAATATTATGATTTGATTGTATTACTTTAACTGCTTTAATCTCATTGATCAAACTTTATGCCTTTGTTCTAATTCAAACATAAATTCACATTTGGAATAATAACAAAAAGAAATCTAATTAATACATTAATACTCATTAATACTCCATCATACTCATTAATGCTCCATCATAGAAAGCAGAGTTTTTAAAATCCCTTTTTTTTTGCATACCATGAAAGTGATGGGGAGAATTTTGCTTATCTATTTCCACCTCCCCTCTCCTAAGCTCGACATGAAGTATTCAGCCTATGAGGACAACGTTAAGGACCTGCAAGCACAACTACAAGCCACTAAGGTAAGAACTGTTACAGTATGTTGAGTCCACGCATCATCATCATCAGCATGACCTCTCAAACTTTAAATGATCCATCAAGTTGTTCTCAAGTTGGTATAAAAAGTACACAAATCTTCAGCCCAACTTAGCTACGGCCATATTTGATGCCATAGATAGTAGAGAGTAGAGAAACATACTTGCTTTCACAACACTGATTGCACGTAGAAGAATTTTATTGCATTGCAAAAAAAAATAAAAAATCCACCCAGGGTGTTGCTATGGTTTAGTGACCTGACATACTTCATACAATTAGAGAAAATAAAATATACTCTATGGGGGTCCAGGGACAAACTTTTCCCTTCCGATATTGACGCATTTAGCTCAACTTAAAACTCTGCCGACTTAATGATTCTCTTGCCGTCATCCTGTGTTTGTATTTGTGATCATGATTGAACCCCTGTACCATGTCTGTAGTGCACAACCTCCATGCTGGCGAGGAGAGATATATGCTCTTTTTGTTATGTACGCTCATACATATGTATATATTCATCCATCCATCCATCCATTATCTGACACCCTATCTGTCCTGAGCGAGGTCGTGAGGGGTGCTGGTGCCCATCTCCAGCGGGTCAATGGGCGAGAGGCGGGGTACACCCTGGACAGGTCGCCAGTCCATCGCAGGGCAACAAGTCAGTTAACCTAACAGTCATGTTTTTGGACTGTGGGAGGAAGCCGGAGTACCCGGAGAGAACCTATGCATGCTCAGGGAGAACATGCAAACTCCACGCAGAAAGACCCTGGGCCGGGAATCGAACCCAGAACCTTCTTGCTGCAAGGCAGCAGTGCTACCCACTACGCCAAAACATTATATTTTATTTTAATTATTTATTTTTATGTATTTTTTATTTTTTTCCACTGTTCTTTTTTATTTTTGTATTACCTTCAATTATCTGCTCCTACTGGATTGGTGCCCAACATGTTCTTGGGATGGGGGGTTAAAATATAAATGAGTATTGGGCCTCTTGTAATTAAAATGATATAATGCATCGCTGATGCTCAACAAAAAAAAGAATAATAAAAAAAAGTACTTAGAGATTTAAGAGAAGGAGACAACTTTACTGGACAGAAATAAATAACAATAGATTGAATACAATACTGCAAAGTCTACGTAGAAATGAATACCCCCCCCCGCCATCTCTACTTCAAAGAGCAGTGACTGAGGAAACACAGATGTATCCTACAGACCAAAGAAAAGTCGTTAATATTTCATCCAAAAAACAAGTTTTCTTGTGTGTTTGCTGTAGGAGGAGGTGAGCGAGCTGCGAGCTAAGGCAGGCGAAGTTACCAAAGAAAATGAGAAACTCCACGATGACATTAACAAGATGGATGCGGTCAACCAGAAGGACTGGTAAGAGGAGACTGTGTGTGTGTGCTGTTTTTTATACATCGTGAGACCCATTTTCAGGAATAATGGCACGTTGTGGGGACCGTTGCCTGTACCAGGTGGGGAATTTCAGTTTTTTTGGGGTCAGAGGTTATGCTTAGGACCAAGGCGTGAATTTAGTTTAGGTTTGGATTAGTTATAACCCCTGTTATGGTTAGGCTTATGGTCATGGATAGCCTGTAGAAATCAATGCAAGTCAATAGAAAGGCCCAACGTTACGGAAGAGGATTAGGGCCACTGAGAAAAAAAAACAAAGTTAACTGATTTTAAATTTTCCTTCAGTTTAATATGGGAAAAAAGTCAGAATTCTGACTTTTTTC